CTTTGATCTGGAAGTTCCAACCCCCATTGAGGCTTCAGCAACTGTCACAACTACAAGGAGGGGCCAGGGGAAGCGCCTGGAGACCGAGATCTAGATGGGCCAGCGCTCTCTCTGTTCCGGCACCCTAGATGGTGGAGGTTGACCGAGCAGAGCTCCAGAGAACACCACTGGACTGCGATACACCTTCCCCAGACCCCCATGACCTACCTATCCCTTCATTTGTAAGTTACCCACTAAATAAATCTTCCTTTTTTAACTACGTGGAGTGGCCTTAATAATTTCACCAATGTGTGTGTGTGTGTGTGTGTGTGTGTGTGTGTGTGTGTGTGTGTGCATATGCTATGGTGCACACATGGGGGTCAGAGGACAACTTTCAGGACTCAGTTCTTCCCTTCCACATGTAGGGCTTAGGGATTAACTCTGGATCTCGGGATTGGTGGCGGGTGACTTCCCCTGCTGAGCCATCTAACCTGATCGACTTTATTTATTCTTAACATTGAAAATACTACTTCATAGTAATCTTAATAGTTAGCTCTAGCATTCTCCCTATTAATAGAAAGGTAAACATGTTTTGTCAATAGTGCCCCCCAAATAGGGGCACAGAGACAGAAATATAGTTGTCACATCAAAGATCAATTTTACTTTCCTAACATTTAAATGCCACTTCAGAGTTCTTGATATTTACCTATATTATCCCCTGTATTTATGCAAAACACTTGCTTTTGAAAAATTTGAAGGTCATCCAAAGCAAGGCATATAAAAGTAGCTCTGATATCATTAGCATGCTAAAAAATAGAACCTTTTTTTCCCTTTTCTAGCTAAAACTGCAAAATATATAAAAGGTTAAAAAAAATGCCCGGTTTGTGCTCATTATCTAAATCCTTTTTGGAAAATAACATTTGTGATAAAATCTAAAATGACATTTTAGAGTCTGATCCAAAGAGCACTATGAGTAAGTATGTGTGTGAGCATGCAAGCTGGTGAAGGTCGGGAAACAGTCACAGGCATATGGCCTCAGCATTCCTCCAGCCAATCACAGGATCAATGCAAGGACTTCAGTAACTTAATTGATAAAGAAATGAACCTTTCATCTCAGAAGTGCAAACAGGAAAGTTTGCACTTTTCACTAAGTAACAACAAAAGGAGCTACCTCCTTGAGTGTTCTACACTAGAGTGGCTAGCACGTGAAAAAAAAAAATGAGGGCCCAATTATGAGCAATTAAAACTATCCAGGTACTTAATATAGCTAATATATAAACCAGAAGTTTGCTATTAAATCAGGAAACGTATGAAAAGTTTGAAAAAGAATATAAAATGAGACTTAATCTCCACCTGGTGCCATGAGGCCAACCTGCTTTCTACACTTTTGTAACCCAAGTGGCTGACACACGGCAGGCGTCCAGCAAGTACACATGGGGTAAAGACATTGTAAACCTGTTTTCAAGGGACGCAGCCAAGCGTCTTCCCAAGTATAAGTGCACGTGTATTTTATTACAACTCTGTTTAACATCCTGAGTGGACACTTTCTGACCTAACGTTTGAAAATAACTATTTGCAATTTTTATTATTTTGGTAGCTACTCTTTGACCGGCTGCATGAAAAGCCCATTCTGCTGTTTATTATAACTTACCAAATTTGTCCTCCA